AGGTTGTAGCTGCTAATTGTGCCTTTATTCCCTGGGGAATAAAGCAAGTCAAGACTCCCTTTCCAAAAAGCCCTTGACACAATCTATGCCTTTACCCTAAGTTTTAGATTTTCATTTAGAGTTTACACTAAGCTTTCAGGGTTTTTTTCTCCTAATTAATGTCCTCTGTGCTGTCACACCAGATCACAGCCCTCTGAACCACCAGTCATTACAGCCTTAATTTCCACCTCTGCCACAAACCCTGGGTGAAGTCAAGGCTCTGCCCTCCTGTCTCCCTTTTAAAACAGGACTAAAAATGCTTCTCCAGATCAGGGCAGCTTAGGTTGGGTGCTCTCAGATGCCTCTCCTCCCTTAATAAGCACTAATTAAGGGCATTTAAACCACTTAGATTTACCTTTGCTTGGGACTTTTAAACCAATAAACTAGAATTATTTATTTATTACCAGCTTCAACCCTGGCTCTGGCAGAGTGCAATGCTGGTGTTTCAAAAGGTGTTTTGAGGACAAAAAACTAAATACCTCTGCAGGGCTGCAGTCACTCAGTTAATGTTCCCAGAGACCTAATGTGCTTTTCCTTTTAATAAAGAATATTATTTGTTGTTACCAGTGGAATTTGCTAATAAACATGGCTGATGATGAAATAGAACTACAAGCAAAATTACCTTGTGCATCAAATTTTTAAAAACACAAGTTTTTGATAGAGAAATTTGGTAATTTTTACAGTTGCATGGAGGAAATTCACTGTGTTGATAAAAGCCTCAGTACTTTCCAGAGGAAAAGATCCTTTGGCTCCAAGATACAGTAGCATTTAACAAATATAGGATGTCAGGAATACTCAATGCCCACAAAGGCCCAGACAATTTAAACCCCAAAATTTATTCCTTTGTTCTGCTACGACTATAAAACTTTGACTTTTTTTCCCCCTCTCAACATTTTTAAACATAACAAAGAAAAACAACTGTTTCAAAATTTTTCACATGAAGAGGAACATTATTATAGGCCATTCTTTCCTAGAAATCTTTTAAGTCTTATTTATTAACAGAATTAATCTGATCATAAGCTGGCTGACATACAAAGTGTTGAAATATGTCATCTTCCAACCATGCTTTGCTAATGAAATTTTGGTGTTAATTCAGGGATTTAACAGAATCCTAGAATCTGTAACAGGAATCAAACAATAATTGTGGTTCATCTGGCAAAAAAAGCAGCATTTTCCCCCTTTTCTGTTGTGGGTTTGTCACTGTACGCTCTCCATCACCCATTTCTTTCCAGAATCTACTTTTTGATGTGGAGTCCCCACTTGGCCATCAACTTCAGCATTAAAATGCTCTGAACATGTTTTGCAGTTCCAATCCCAGGAAATGTTTTGTACTTCCAATCCCAGGATCCAAAAGGATTTCATAAAACACTGAACAACTAAGCCTGAACAACCAAGGCTGGGATTTCATAAATAACCTCAAGGTATCTTTCTGATGCCACCAACTTCTTGTTCTGCCCAGCCCAGTAACCAAAAGCACAGAGAAGTTTGGTAAATGCTCTGACTGTTGGAATTATCAAGCTGCTGTGGGTAGATCACTACAAGGATGCAAGAAACATAATTTAAATTTAAAATAAAATTTAAATAAATAAAGTAAAAATAGTAATTAAATTTTAAAAATTAATAAAAATAATAAAAAAAATAATTTTTTTAAAAATAAATAAAAAGTTTACCCCACACATCAGTGGCCAGGGAAGCTCCTGCCCAGACATTCCCAGTTCAGTGCCAGCCCCTTACTGGAGAGCAGCAATCCCAGCCTGAAGCAGCACAAAGGGCTACCAGACCTGGCACTTCAGGCAGGTTTTCCAGACACCTGCAGGGTTTTTGGGAACATCACAGAGCCCAGATCCCAGCTGGGGCTGGGGCTGTGGCTCCTGACCTCTGGGCTGAGCACAGCTCAGGGTCCAGGTGAGCTCTGCTCCTTGTCCCCCTGCCCCAGCCCAGTGTCCTGGGGCTCTGCTCTGGATTTAACCCCTGGTGAGCCCAAAGCAAGGACAGGGCACTGAGGGGGGCTGGGTTTGGGGCACACCTCAGCTCCTGTGGGATCTGCCACGGGACACTGCTGCTCGTGGCACCCTGAGAGCCACAAGAGAGGAAGTGAGAGCCAAAGGTTTATCCTGATTTTATGAGTGATGACAAGTCTGACTTGCCCTTAGGCCAGACCTAACACGGAGTGCCAAGGCCTTCAAGCATTTGTCTCAAACTGCCCCAAACTGAGGCCATCTGAAGGCAAAAAGCCTCATTCAAACTGGGGTTTTAGGCTGTCAAAACAAGCAAAAGGTTCTTGAAAGGTTCTTGAAAGTTCCATTTATTCTTTTTAACTAATATTTAAGATACTACCTTAAGAAATGTTGAGTTGAAGGAGATGGATGCAATTGTGCAATAATAACAAATCAGAAATCTTTTACTAGCAAAGAGAGTCAGGAATTTGAATTAACATCAAAATCGTGTATTATGGCATCCACATCTGGATATCACTTTACTGCCTAAATCCAAAGCTTCTCTGAGAGCCAGTTGGTTTCTGTAAAAATGTATTTCTCTTTTTGAAAGGAAATAATAATTGGAAGGTCTTACAGGAAGCCACCCAATACCAATAGAGGAAATTGCAATCTGTTCCTCAATGTTAGTTTAAATCAATGTTATATTTAGCAAAGGCTGTTTTTTAATGATAGTATTTTCAATAGATTTTACTACACTGAGTCTCCTCAAAGGCTTGCATTATATTAAGAATTGCCTTGTTTGTAGAATGTTTCTTTAATCATCCCTCAAGGTCTTCAGCTTACCCTAGGTTAGATGTTGTTCCCCATCTCCAGGACATCCAGGATTCCATTTTCACCAAAACCCTTTTTTTTTTTTTTGCCCCAGGCTAATAAAAAGCAAAGTATTTCTGCATATGCTTGCCTAGAAATATGTGTGGTTCTTAAAAATACGAAGTGATCAAATATTAAAACCACCTTTTTCTGTTTCCAGAAGTATACACAGCATTTTAGCTTCCTAGGAATTTTCTGCCTGGGTATCTGGATTTCAGTAAATTTCCATTAAATCAGTGGTTTCAAAGGAAGATTTTTAAAAAAAAGTACAGTATTAATGATACTAAACAAAATTCAAGAACTCCAAGCAAAACAGCTCCTCCAATTTCTTCTCCAAGTTGACAAAATCTTTTAAAACATACTCCCAGCACCAGCGCTAAAAACTGCCTGGGACACTGCTCAGAAATCCTGTGCAGAATTTCCCTGTGGTTTTTATGGATCTCATTACATTGTGAAGTAATAACATCAAAATGAAGTTTATAATAGATTTACATGCAGAAGGGTTTCATGCCACCTATAATCATTACTGTTCAAAAACTGGTGTTGCCAACAGCTGAACTGTTCCACTGTGTGTAACTTAAGAGAATCCAGAAATTCAAGAGCAGAGTTTGCACCAGAAGGAAAATGCTGCTTAAGAGTCTGAACCATGTTTTTCCAACATGTAACTCAAGAAGGCACCATGATAACTTGAATTATAACTTGAATTACAGTGTATTTCTGACTCTGTGGAAGATGATTCCACTGTCACGGGGTTTCTGCAGATCTTGGTGGCCAATGGAAAAGTGAACTACAAACAGTTCATGTTCCTAAGTGGTAAAAATTCACCTGTACCTGAAAGTAATGTGATTTACCTGTGTTCTCTCTGCAGAGCCTGGTGATAAAATAACCTACCTGTGGTGATTCTACCTGCATAACAGATTAGAGCCAATATTTGTATAGTTACACCTTTCACAGAATGATCAGAAAGAAAATTCTTTTCCTCAACCAGCACACAAATAAAGGCAGATATTTTCCTTAAGAAAAAAATAATGATAATTAAAAAATCGATGAAAGAAAGGGAAAACATTCTGCAGATGATGAGACAGTAACGACAACCTAATGCAAGTCATTCCAATATAGAGGACAGCATTAACTGCACCATAATCCAATGGATTTCCAACATTTAAAAACTTTCATGGTGTCTTTTAGGCACAAAAAAAGTACATAAACTGTAGGAGTTGATTTTTCCATGAGTTTTTTACACTTAATAATGTAATTCTTTGGTATGATTAAATGTCTTTACAAAGGAAAAGGAATTTCATTCTTCTATGCAACTTCTCATGAGCTGTTTTTGTTGTCAAACAGAGCAGATGACAGTTTCATTTTTTTCCCATTGCTCTTTACTACTCTGAGAAGAAAAAATGTTTAAAAGCCAATTCTGCTAACTTCTACAGGTAGGATTCTCTGCAGCTACTTTGAGTCAGGATGACAAAGCAGCAATAACACAATTGGGCTGTTCAGTCCCTTAAAACAATGAGGAAGGCCAAAGAATGGAATTCTGAAGCAAAATATGTATAAAAAATATAATAAAATATGTATAAAACAATGAGGAAGGCCAAAGAATGGAATTCTGAAGCAAAATATGTATAAAAAATATAATAAAATATGTATAAAACTACAGATAATAAATAATTTATTCCTTTAACATTCAGCACAGACTTTGCTGGTATTTTTCACTGGAAGCTAAGGACAAACTTTCCTTCAATGCAGCCTTAAACATGAAAGTTGGGAAGATTTGTGAACACCAGGCTGCAGCCCAGGCCATGCTGCTGCCTCACTCTCCTATTTTTCACCTTTCCTCTCTTTCAAGCCCTGAAAGCACAGCATAAAGGTGCTGAAAACACATGAAAACATCAGGGCCAGTACAAAAAGAAAGAGAACAGGAAAGATTCAAGTCTTTGACTGACATGGATGGATTAGACTTGCCCAATCCAGGCGTTTGATGCAGGCATGGGATCAGCTAGAGGAAAGGGAGCCTGAGTCATCAGCTCCATCAAAGGCAAGGTCTGGGGACGTCTGGGTGAGCTCTGTGTGAGCAGGAACCAGCCCTGCATTCAGAACTTTTAATTACCCTCACCCAGGCAGCAGCATCAGCGACTGAAATCCCCAGATTACCTTGATTGCTCTGTCATTATCTGTCATCAGCTGCTGCTTCTCATCTTCCAACTTCTGTGCAGCTTCCTGGAGCCGCTGCTCCACCGCAAGCTGCTGCCGGCTGTTCTCCTCTGTCAGGAAGGAAATGGTTGTCTTCAGTTCTGCTATCTCCTGAAAAGAAAGCAGCATGTTGAAGCTCCCCTCAGTAAAATCCGTGCATTTTGCATTTTTTTAATATAAACATGGCAATGGCAAGCTCTGCTGCGTGAGGGGATGTTTGAAATTAGCACTGGCAGGGCATGGAACTCCACGCAGAGAAAAGCAAGAGAGCAAGGCTGTAAATGACAAGAATTGCTGAACACAAAATATTTGGAAGTGTTATCCACTGCGACATTCCAAAATATTTGCTCATGAGAACAAAGCACATCTGTGATTTTCAAACTGGAGCCTGCTCCCCGTCTTGCACCGCTCTGAAAGCAGGAGTGAGAGTTTACACTGGAATCTGCTGCTCCTTTTCCAGGGGGATATCTTACACCTTGATACTGCCGAGAAGAAAAACGCCCACATTCACACACTGGAATGAAATTTAAACCTGACATTGACATTTCTGACCTGCTGAAAGGAGCAGATTTCGCTGAGCAATACAGTGAGGACCTGACTCCACATCCAGGACCTTCATCCAGACCTTTTAGGTGATTCACTTGTCATTTGTTGAATTGTATTTGTTTTACCTTTTTCATCACTGGGGAAAGTCATAACTAACCCTGATCCTTTAGGCATATTTACAGAATTTTATACTGACATGTCATCACCCAGCAAAGCACTTAAACATGTGGGAGAGTCACTGACTTTAATGTATATATTCAAGCTTAAGGTTAAGCCTCTGTAGCAGCATATTATAGAATAATTCTAAAAGCACTTTAGCACACACGCAGTTCAGGGAGAGACTACCAGTGTGCTTAGACTTTGCCAGGCCTCCTCACTGGCAGAGAAACATCTATATTAATTACATGGTTATTTAGAAAAAAAAAAGTTAAAAAACCCCTAATAATAGGCCAGGACTAGTGTAAAAAGAACTGTGCTACAAATGAAGGTACTAAAATCACTGGAAAAGGGGAAAAAGCTGATTAAAAACTCTGTAGTAAATTTATTTCTCTTTACCTACCTGAAAAGCCCAGGAAGTAACCCAGATTATGTGTAAAACCTACCCTTGTATTTCTGTATTGCTCTTCTAAATAAGAAATACATATTTCAAAAGATAATACCCATCAAAAAAAAGGGGTTTTGAGACCAATACGCCGAAGTTTAGAGATTATCTCAATAGGCTGCAATTCTTTAGCCAGGATTAAGCAGGTTTCTGGGTCTGCAGTTCAGGTAATTGTTTAGAAGACAGATAATTTGCAGAAATGTGTTTTTACCAGGTGTGTAATGCACAGGAGAAAGAAGAAGAAAGCAATGGATTATACAAATTATTAAGATAACAACTTGATCCTATGCAAAACTATGAGTATGGTTCCTTTTGTCATTTTAGAAAGAAAACAAATTAGCAAACTTCTCAATATAACACAAACCTGAGATTTAAAGCTTTTACCAGGTTGAGTCCCTGGTCTAGCCCAAGAGTTCTGAAATCCAAGCAAGAAAATTTCAGCAGGAATTGATGAAGAAAGATCTGCTTTGTGCAGTACTTTTTAGAGCAAAAATTTCTATTTACTTTGTATAAACTTCAGAGGAAATTTCTTGAAATATCTTCTCTGTGTGGGTGTTAAAAGTGAATGTTCCAAGAGGCCACAGAGAGAAAGATTGGACAGATGTTGTCAGCAAGGCGACCACAAGAAAAGTTGCAATCAACCAATTATTAACAGTGAGCTACAAAAAAACCCCAAAGCCAAGCGTGTCCAAGTAACTTGGGGGATTTGATTTAAACCCGCACAAGTAAAGAAATTCAGACATCAGGGTGAAACTGTTTTATTGAGCCAAACAGCCCTGACAGATGATGGATGTGTTGTGTCTGCCCCAGAAGTGCTGAGGAACTGGGTCCAGCTCTTGCCAGTAAAATGCCCCAGCTACAGCAAAGCCACCTTAATACAAAACATGTCCCCAAACCTTGAGACTGTTCTGCAAGCCAATAAATATTATATGACATAATAAATTTTGTCAGTCTGACAAAATTTATTATGACATTTAGGTTAAAAAGTTCTTGCCCTACACTACCTACATGTTCCCACTGCAACAATTAGAGCAATTTCCCTTTGCTTAAAAATTCAGAAATGCTTCAATTATTCCATCTGTCTTTAACAAATGGACCAAGAACCACTTTTGTATTGACATTGGATTGTGTCTGGCACAGAGAGGTTGCCTTGATTCCACTCACATGTGGGTGACAATGACAAAAAGTAAAACAGAGGTAGCAATGGAAGGGATCTCTTCCTTCAGGTCTGATGTGGATCAAATGTTACTTTTTGAGCTTTAATAATTTCCTACTTTTCAGGTTCAGATGGAAAGATAAAAAAAAGAAGAGGGTTTTTTTGTGTCTTTCTATCTTCCTTTATAAATAAAAATTACTAAATTACCCACTAAAATTACTAAATTACTAATTTAAAATTACTGGCAAGCTATTTAGGAAAGAGAACATTCTCTGCAATTTACCACAGAATTGTGGAATTGATGAGGGTGGAATGGACCAGTCTAAAGAATTATCACCCAGAGCTGGTTCAGGATCAGCCCAGTCAGGTTTTAAGTATCTCCAAGGATGGAGACTTTATAACCTCCCTGTATGCAAATGAATGTGTAAAAATACAGGTTAGATTTTAGAAATAGAACATAAGACATATTTACCAATGATTCTGATAAAGCAGTGTGAAAAAGTGACAGCCAATAAATGTCACCAAAACAACTAAAGTCACAATTTTGGACAAGTGTTACAGACAATAAGACTCAAAGGAGATGAAAAGCTGAAACCAAGAGTTTTAAATATTTTGAAGTGTTGGTAAAACAGCAAGTTTGCAGTTTCTTGTTATTGTCTTGCTGATCATTTCGGTCTAGATTAGAGGCTGCTAAACCCTTCTTTGTAGTGTTTTTATTGATTTTAAAAGACTATTATTGGACTATTGGCTGCAAATACATTTTGCAGTGCAAGGCAGACATTCTGCTGTGGCTGGGAGCAATGAGGAGAATGACACCTCCACACAAATCCTCGTGGCAATTTTCTTCTTATTAAAAGCTTAACTTCTGGTTGCATCTCCATCATTTTTCACACTTCAATACTACCTGTCAGTCAAACTGAAAGCTGAAGTATGTAAAAATCCTCCAGCCTTACCATTTTTAAGCATATATGTAAATTCAACACTCATTTTCATCTTTTGAGTTCTCTGAAGACCAAAAACTCAAGTCAAAACCAGTCTGCCTCCAGGACACTGACATTCCTCCAGGTGCTGTTTTGGGCAGAAATGCAGAACTGGTGGGGATCAATGAGAAAGATGAAGAAACCTTGGGTGACACCACCTTTAACAAGAAATGCAACTCCTAGCTGTGCAATGGCTCCTGATTCTATGAGATGTGATGGAGAACCTCACCCTCCTTCCCACTGGCTGAAGGAGGACTTGGTCCTTTGGGGTCCTCAGGAAATGATGATGGAGAATGAAGGATGAACTTCAGAACTCAAAAAACCCACCTCTACTTTCCAGCTTAATGCTCTGTGGTTTTTCAGCTAAAATCTGCAAGAAGACACTGGATGCTTGATTTAGCAATGGCATGACTTCTCTTGGTTGTCAAAACCAGCAGCAACTCAACTTTTCACCAAGCTCCCAAGTGGAACAGGTTCACCTGAGCTGCCTGCTGGCCACCTACCTGCGCGGACATGGACAGCTTCTGGCTGAACTCCTCCTCCATCTGCTTCAGCCGCCTGTTGGCCTGGAACACACACAAAAGAGAGCCCCGTTAGCTCAGACACAGGACGTGCACAGACACTTTGCCACCGGGCCCTGGGCTTGGCACCTCCTCCACATGCCTATCACCGAGCGCCGGCCCCGCGCCAGCCCCAACGCCCTTTTGTGGCAGCCAAAAAACCGCCAGGGCTGGGCTTTGATCTCGGGCCAACTATTCATCACTTGAAAGAGGGGAGAAATTGTACCTCTGCTGCCAATTATTAGAAAAACATAAAGAGTTCTGCGGATTAAAAAGAGAAAAAAAAAGGAGAGAATGAGTGTGTGTGTGTGTGTGTGGGGCAGGGGAAGGAGGCAACACACGTAAACGAGTTTATCAGGATGAATTTGTTTCTGAGCAGAGGGGGAAAAATGAGGACAAAGTCCCAGGCAATGTGACATGGGGGATGCAGCTTCACCTCTCAGTTCTGTGTCTGCAACTGTTCTTTGTCCCACTGCTCGTCCCTTCCTAAGGAAAGGTGGGAATTACACTGAAAATCCACCCAAGATGCAGCGTGGACATACAGCTCTTTCCTTACCCCAGCTTTTTTTTCTACAACTCGAAGCTATAGAATAAACCAAACTGAAAACATAGCTGCTTGGTCATATCAGAATCAAATCAGCAAATATATCTATAACCTCAGGAAAATAGCTCTTAAGGGTTTTTGTTTTTTCCCTCAAATAATTTAGTTTCAGAAATAATTTGATAATAGCAATATTAATAAAAAAATAAATGCAATTTCACTTCAGGAAAGAAACCTGATTTGTATTTTTCTTGCAGAAACCAGCCCAGCCCAGCCCCACCACGCTGTCCTCAGGTGAACTGCTCGGCGCTCTCGTCTCCTTGGCTCTCAAACTTGAGGACAGGTGTCTAAGACAAACATTTTCTTAGGGGGGACAGAATATCATGCAGCTGAGTTCTGAAGCAAATTTAAGCTGATTAAGTTTTCAAAATCTATCTGACCTCCTGCTCAAACCTTTGATCTGTCGTCCTCAGTTTTACGGCACCGCGTCCAGCGCCAAACGCCGGCTCCTGCCAGCCCCTCTTTGGGGGGACCAAAAAACCCACAGGGGCCCCCAAAGCCTCTGAACCCTGTGTGCAGCCAGCTCAGGCTCCATTTCTGCAGACTCCAGGGATTTCAGGCAGGCAAAGAGTCTTATTGATTTTCCTGGGCTATAAATCGAGGAGCTTAGAGCCGCGGATCGTCATGGTAGGGCTGGAATCATCCTCGGCAATCCGGGCAGCTCTGTAAGGTGCAGCTCAGCCTAAGAATATTACAGCCAGTTCAAAGTAATCCTAAACTTTACATGAAATTGCAATTTCAGATCCTCAATCCCTTCAAATTCCAAAATTATGAAACATATGGATGTCTCCATCTGTTTATTGGTACTAAGGAATCTACTAAAAAAGTTGGCAAAACCAATTACCAAATTTGTGCATCATTTTTGAGATGACATTATGGCTTGGTTTTGTTATAAAACAGAGATAATGGCAATACACATTGGCTTGAAACAGCATCTAGAAGAATTCTGGAGCACCAGACAAATGAAATTTCACTTTTTCTCCATTTATCACTCAAATGTGGACCACAAACACTGTAAGGGCTCATGGTGGGGGTGCATAAATAAAAGGAGTGGTGACACAGCCCCAGCTATCCTAGGGAGCTCTGTCCATGCTGTTTCTCCTTGTACTCGGGCTGACCCACATTAACACTTGTTCCATTGTACTGCAGCCTAGTTTCAGATGATGTTTTACCACCACTGCATGTCATAAAGTGACTGAAACTGCCAGTTTATCTTTAGAGAAAAAAGTAAAAAAATAAATTACAGCAATAGCATAAATCGCTGTTAGTCCCAGAAAGGGAGAGGGACTCGTCAGCAAGGCATTGCACAGATCACGTTACAGCTGCTCTCGCTCAACTTGCCTGGGGTAAAAGTCCTCATCTTTCATAGAAGCAGCTTTATAACCTCCTGAACCCACAGAAGAAATCCCAATAAATAATAAAGAACCGCTCACGAGTTCCATAAACAAATTAGAATTTGTTTGTTCACACACAGTACAATCAGGCTGACCTCTGAGAGACAGGACAGAGGTGATCCAAAAGAAAGATACTCTGGATTTCATTGTTTTATTCCTAACTAAAGGCAAAGAATGGATATCCTACCAATTTACTTAAAAGGAATTGCAACATTTTATTTTATAATGGCTTTAACAACATCCAGTTAGCAAAATATTTACAAGTTTTGTCTCCCACTCACCAACAAACCATAAATTCTTGCATTTTCTTCCCAAACATTAGAGGCATCTGAATTTCAGAGGTACTGAGCTCCCAGATCTTCCCCTGGAGACAGCTCCATGGGCTCTGGTTGCCTAAAACTGGTTATATTGGCCCTGTGGCACTAAAAGCTATGGACAGCCCCTGCCAGCACCTTAAAGGTCTTACAGGAAGGCTGGAGAGGGACTTTTCACAAGGGCAGGCAGTGACAAGAAAAGGGGGAATGGCTTCCCACTGATGGAGGGCAGGGATGGATGGGATATTGGGAAGGAATTGGCTCCTGTGAGGGTGGGCAGGCCCTGGCACAGTGCCCAGAGCAGCTGTGGCTGCCCCTGGATCCCTGGCAGTGCCCAAGGCCAGGCTGGACAGGGCTGGGAGCAGCCTGGGACAGTGGAAGGTGTCCCTGACATGGCAGGGGTGGGATGAGATGGGATTTAAGGTCTCTTCCAACCCAAACCATTCCATAATTCTGTGGTTCCTGCTGACTTCAGCTTTTCCCTGAGGTCTGTAACACCCAGCAGCTCTTGCATCATCACAAACCACACGAGCAGCTCTGAAGAAGGCAGAGACCACAATTTACAGCACTGAAAAGATCCAGCTCATGGGGCTGCCGGGGCACCCTCTTTTCCACTGCCATCTTTTAACTGCAGAAATATGAAGCTTCTCCTTTCTCAAAACCTGCAACTAAAACTAATTCAGCACCTCTTTATACAGGCTGTTGCTTTGCAATCAAGGCAGACATAAACCACCTTCTCTGGGGCACTGCAACACACAGAAAATGCCTTTTTACTCTTTTTGTTTTAAAGAATGAGTAAATACACACAGAGCTGTGTACAGGGAACATCAGGGGGGATTTACACCAAATTTATCTTGAAAAATGAGAAGGTTCACACTGGCCTGGTGCACACACACAGCACTGGACTCCTTCCTGGGCTCCTTCTTTTCCAACTGGCTGCTGGGTGCACGTGCTGCAGGAAGCACGAGCTGTTTCTGAATTATTTTAAGGGCATTCCCTCCCTTTCAGGTTAGGTGCTATTTCAGAACCATAATGAATAAGAATCCAAGTGGAAGGTGAACATTTGGAGGGTCAGCCAGTGTTCATTAAAGTCAAGCTCTTTTTATAGCAATGGGCAGCACTGCAAATAGAGTTAATGGTCTGAAACCAGTTTTCCACGTGTGAGAGGTGGCTGCTGAAATTCCCACTTGGCAGAAAGAAGCTTGTCAGAAATATCAATTGGAATATCCATTTTTATAATGAAAAAGATTTAAATTGGATAAGCAGCAGAGGAATTCCACTGATTCAAAAACGAACTCCTGTTTAGTTTCACACAGTTAATACATATTTTAGCTAAAATGATCTGATTATGATGATTTTACATGCAGTTATTTTATATTACAGAGGACTTTTGCATTAAAAAGATTATGTCCTTGTTGCAGTTAATTGGTTTTAAAAACCAACTGTAATTCTTTAACAAGCCTTAAAGCATCAAATTGTGGTTGCTGAGCAAAACTGCATTGACTCCAACAAAACATTTTATATAAAAATTAAAACAAACAAAAAATAAAACAAAAAAAATTAAATTAAAACAAAAAATTAAAATTATTAACACTCCAGATGTGGTGTCTGCATTAATGGATGCTCTTCTAACACTGCCCCAGTTTCACTTTATCCTTTCATGGAACAGAACAGCATCAGTAAAAGAGCCCAGGATCTGACAGGACCTCACCACAAAAGCACACCGTGCCTTACCCTAATTAACAAGTATTTATAAGCTATTTGAAGGCATGAGGTGCATCAGAGGGAACTTTCAGTCCCAGTTCCACTCAGTGGAGCACAAGCCCTGACCAGCCCCAGGTCCCTCTGGCCTTGGCAGCCACGTGGACAATTCCACCCTGCAGCATCACCCATGGAGGCTTTTGGGATGCCTTGGGTATTTATCAAAAATGGAGCTGTTCAGAAGCTTTGAAACATTACAAACCTGTGCATTGTGTAAGATATTGGGGGAAAATCCTTCCCTGTGGGGTGGGCAGGCCCTGGCACAGGCTGAGAGCAGCTGTGGCTGCCCCTGGATCCCTGGCAGTGCCCAAGGCCAGGCTGGGCAGGGCTGGAGCAGCCTGGGACAGTGGAAGTGTCCCTGCCATGGCAGGGGTGGCACTGCGTGAGTTTTAAGGTCCCTTCCAACCCCAACAATCAGAGTTTAGTGAAGGGCTTGGCAGTGTTGTGTTTATGGCTGGACTCCATGACTTTACAGGCCATTTCCAAACTCAATAATTCCACGTTTCTCTATCTTCCAGCTTTGGAAAGAGCTCTCGTAACTAGAGTTTTATATATATATATATATATATATATATACACACACACACACACAACACCATATTCACTGATAGAGAAGCAGCAGATTAAAGAACTTTTCTGTTTAGGGTAGTAGCTATGAAAGAATCATTTTTCAAAATGCCTGCAACTAGCTAAAAGTGGCCATCCATAAGCTGATCCTCCATAATTAGTTAGATAAAAGTGTAAGCAAACTTAAAAAAAAAAAAGAAAAAAAGAAAAAAAAAAAGGGAGGAAAAAATCAAAGGGTGGGGGAAGAAGAAGAAAGAAAACTTGCTCCAGGGAAGAAGCAACTGTTCTCTGATGTGCAGCAAGGAATTTAACATCAAAGAACTAATGTAAATGGGGCCCATTTACCTCAAAAAACAACACACCACTCCA